GCTGAAAGCGCTGCGGCCTGGCCCGGAGCCCCGAGGCAAAACTTCCCGATCGGCCCAAAGGGGAGCGGCGCCCGGGAGCTGGGCTGGCTGCACACGGGCTCGCCTCCTCCCGAGGTGCGGGGCCTGACTGGGAACTGCTCGGGTGCCAGGGATGCCGATGTCAGCTTCAATTAGCAAAGAACAATTAATGCCTCGATTGCCCGGGCTCCGAGGCCGCGCATCAGAGGAGCTGAAGCGGCCTCCGCGTTTCCACGCGGCAGCCCCGACCCTGCACACACACCCGGAGGGGGGGGGCGGGAGCCCCGCGGCTGACCCGGGGGGCTGGCAGGCAGGGCTCGGTGCTTTGTTACCGGCCCACCCGACTGCCCCCTGCCCCGCCACGGCCTCCCGCTCCCCTGCGCGCCCAACCCGGCTCGTCCCGCCGGCTCCAGAAACGGGCTCGCTTTACACGGCAATGGGGCAATCGCTCTGGGCTCTTTCAACTCGTTTCGGGGACTAGCGGGACTGCCGCGGGGGGCGTCCATGACCCAGCTCTAGGCTACTCTCTAGGCTTGGCTGCTAAGTCTAGTTGTGGCGGTGCAGGTAGATGCTGCCTGGGGAGTTACCTGGTGTTGAACTTGTCAGCACTGTGGGAAACGGTATAAAGTGTGTGTGTACGTGAGCGCGTATCAGCACTGTGGAAAACGATACAGGTGTGTGTGTGTACGTGTGTGTGTCAACACTGTGGGAAACGATTGAAGTATGTGTGTGTGTGTGTGTGTGTGTAAGAGAGAGAGAGAGAGAACACTGTGGGAAACGATATAAGTGTGTGTGTGTTCAAAAGATTTGGGCTTGAGGAATTCATCACAATAATCGCGTGTATGTGTGCACCTCAGCACTGGGGCCAACGGGGGGGGGGGGGGCCCCGGCGGCCCGCCCGCGGGCCAGGGGGGGGGGGGGGGCGCCCGCGCGCACCCGCGCGCACCCGCATTAAGCCAAGAGGGGCAGGAAGCCCTGCAGTGCACTAAGTCCCCGGGCTCCCTCTCTCCTTTTAGGAGAGGACCAGGGTGGCGGGGCTTTGGATGTGGATCTAAGCCAGGCAGCAGCAGCTTTTCCCGCATCCCTGCAGACAAAGAAGGCTGTTTTCCGTGTGGGGCTTGGGCTGCTGGCTGCACCCCAGGATGCTGCTACGTGTGGGCTCCTGAGCGGTTTACAGGAGGGCTGCTGTCCCCCTCCCCCCTCCGCTGCTGCCCCGACCCCGCCAGGGCCGCCCGGGTGCGGGGAGGCCCCGCGTGCTGTCCCCACCTGAGTTGTAATTGACGATGTCCACTCCTAGCGCGGGGCTTTTCCGTTTCCTGGGCCTCCCTTTCTGGACCGTGCCAGTACCATTGAAGTAGGGCAGGGCCAGCCCTCCGCTCTTGGCAGCCAGCTCGGTGTAGCTCAGCTGAGGGGGGTATTCTCCTTGCAAAAGGGACTCGAAGTGGGCCCTGCAGTAAACCAGGTTGTCCTTCATGCCAAAGTGATCGCCTGTGGTCAGAGTCTTGTTGCAGGTGGTGCAGGTGAAGCAGCTCAAGTGATAAACCGACTCCCTGGCTCTCATGACCATTTCGGAGGCTGAGATCCCAAGGTGGCAGCGGGCACATCTCTGCACGGAGAACCTTCTGAAGGGGAGAGAAGAGCCGGCATCAGCTGGACGGACAGGGGAAAGCCCTGCCTGCCCCCTCCCTCCGCATCCCGGCCGGCTGCCAGCCACAACAGCTCCGGCGCCTTCCTCCCTAGGCCTCTGGCCCAGCTCTGGAGTCTGAATGAACCTGTCGGCTTGGGGGAGAAACGGCCCGGGGACAAGGAGCTTTCTGCCTGGGGCTGCCGCCCTGCCCTTACGGGGGAAGCGAAGACCCGGGGGGGTGGGGAGCCCGATTATCCCTTTAAACGCTAACCCGAATTACTGAGAGCTCGTGGGGGGACACTAAACTCTGGGGGGTGTGGGACAGAGGTCCAAACAAGTAAAGTAAGCAAGGATTGCAGCTCTGCCTAGCGGGATGGGCACTCAGATCTCCGGCAGGGAGGCAGATCCCACTTCGGGCCGGTTCCTTGCAGTCCCTGCTGCTGTCCCGGGCATGAGCCTTCCCTGCTGTGGGCCCCGGGGGGGGGCGGGGATGAACCAGCTCCAGCCCCCAGGGGGATCCGCTCCGCCACCCCGCAGCGATCCAGCCTGTGGGGGGTTTCTTTCTCCTGCCCGTGCCGGGACCCGCTACAGCCTTGTCCCCCGGGGCCGCGTACCTGTAGTAGTCCTCCTTGCAGTAAATGCTGCCGTCCTTGGCAAAGCAGGTGAGTTCTGACTCCAGAGCCAGTTTACATTCACAGCACTTAAGACACCTGAGGTGCCATTGTTTGTCAACAGCCAGCAGGTAATAGCGGTCGGAGATCTTCCCTCCGCAGCCAGCACACAACGCGGGCTTCTCGGGGCTCATGGGGGGCATGCTCTGCGAAAACAAGAAGCGCCCCGGCGGCGTGAGAGCAGGGCAGGCCTGGGAGCCGGGTAGGGGAGAGCCCATGCTTTCCTCCAGCCCCGAGGAAGTTACGGATCGCGCTGGAAGTTTGCAGCAGTGGAAGAATGTTTTTTTTTTTTAAGGGGATGAGGGGAGGATCCCATACATCCACCGTGGACATGTGGTGGGATGCAGGAAAGAACGAGCTCAAGTCCACGCACGTGAACTTGCTCGCGAACAAAAGCCAAGAGGGGAGATCGCGGCCCCGGGGCAAGGCGGGAATGGCTTCCCCGTGCGCCCAGCAAGGGAATCCGGGCCGGCCAGGCCGAGCACAGCAGCCCCCGTCTCCGTGCCCCGCTGCTCCGGAGTTTGGAGCTGTAGTCAGCGCCCGTCCCGGCCGCGAAGACGGGGTGAGTGGCTCGTCCGGAGCCCGCTCAGCCCGAGCTAACCGCGAGGCCGCCCTGCCTGGCCCGGCCTCCGGGCCGAAGCCAAGCTGTGCCTGGCACCCCCTTCCCCTGCCCGCATCCAGCTCCTCTCTTACCGCTTCCCGGCCGTTCATCTGCCCCGCTTTGGCCAGGCGGGACTCGGTTTTGGATCTCCTCTCCATCTCCTCCATGATCCCTTGGATGTGGCCTCCGGAGATCCCGTGGAAAAGCATGGCTGGGGGGCGGAAAGGACAAGTGTTTTCTTCTGCTCTGCACCCCACTATTTCCATATACAGCCCCCCAAGATCATCCAAAAGGGTCTAGCGAGGTGGCTTCTCTTCGCACAAGCACCGGGAGAGGCTTCCTGGAGACGATGTGCAGAAAGCAAACGGGGGGGGGGGGGCGATCTATATATAGATAACAACGAAAATGAGTATGATTATTGATAATAATTTATATAGATATATATATTTTTTAGAAAAGCCACGCGAGAGAGGCTCTGCGAGTGCTGGAGGGAGCTGCGGATCCTGGCTGCTGGGGCAGCATAAAAAGATGGGGCCGGGCAAGGCAGGAGGATGGGAAAAAAAGCGGGCAAAAAAT